TGTAGAGATGAGGTCTCGCTAAGTTGCCCAGGCAGGTCTCGAACCCGCGGGCTCAGGCAATCCACTCACCTCAGCCTCTCAAAGGCGCGGGGTTATAGGCTGAGCCACCGAACCCGGCTCATCTCAATTCTTAAGAAAGGATATCAGTGAGATAAAATAGACAAGGTTTCTAATTCTATAGTAAGTGAACTCTAATATCTATTAAACTACCAAGGCATACAAATGTCTCTTAACAGGGCAAGTTGAAAATCCCCGCCATCTCTGAAATCTTCATTCAAACAATCATGTAATTAAAGCTTGGATGCTGTGAGTGACTACCTTTGTGGGCATGTACTCTTTGGACCCAAGAGAGAGGACAGGTCTTCATAACAGAGTAGGGCACACTAATTGTATGCATCTTATTCATTACATTCTGAAAGGCAAACAAAGAGGAAGAGTAATCAATACTAAATACATATTTGGCATGTTAAAATTGAGTTAATATTTTGTTAACAACTTTAATTACATAAGTAATACCAAATATACACTTTGAAAAAAATCATACAAACTATGAGGTTGAAGTTCCTATGATACCTACCCTGAAACCTACTTTCTTCCCTACCTCCCCAGAGATAATCACAGTTCTGAATTTGTTACATCCTTCCAGTCCTTTTTCTTTTTTTGAGTTGGAGTCTCACTTGGTCACCCAGACTGGAGTGCAGTGGCCGCTCCCAGTCACCGCAGCCTCGACCTGTCGACCTGCTGGGCTCTGGCGATCCTTCCGCCTCAGCCTTCCGAGTAGCCGGAATTACAGGCATGCACTACCACGCCCGGCTGATTTTTTGATTTATTGTAGAGATGAGGTCTCGCTGCCCAGGTGGGTCTCGAACCCGCGGGCTCAGGCAATCCACTCACCTCAGCCTCCCAAAGGCGTGGGATTACAGGCTGAGACACCGAGCCCGGCTTTTCCAATCCTTAATGCACTTATATTTGTCCCCATACAAATATGAATTTTTATTTATTTATTTTTTTAGTTGGAGTCTCACTATGTCGCCCAGACTGGAGTGCAGTGGCCACTCCCGGCCACCGCTGCCTCGATCTGCTGGGCTCTGGCGATCCTTCCGCCTCAGCCTTCCGAGGAGCCAGAATTACAGGCATGCGCTACCACGCCCGGTTGATTTTTTGATTTATTGTAGAGATGAGGTCTCACTGCCCAGGTGGGTCTCGAACCCGCGGGCTCAGGCAATCCACTCACCTCAGCCTCCCAAAGGTGCGGGATTACAGGCTGAGCCACTGAGCCCGGCTAAATATGAATATTTTTAAAATAAAAGGCATTCCATTATACATATATCTGTAACTTGCTGTTTTTATTTCAATTGTTTTAAAGCTTAATCTACATACATCAGTATAAGAGATCTATATAATTCTTTTTGAACTGCTGCATAGTAGCCTATAATATGGCTATATACAATTGCTAGGAATTTCCCTAATGATAATTTTTTGCTATTACAAACAATTTTACTCACTCCCCTGGGTTCTCATGCAAGTGTTTCTCTAGGACAGATACAGAAAAGTAGCAGTGCTGGGTACATGCTGCTGATTTTTTTTTTTTTTTTTAAAGTCGAAGTCACTCTATTGCCCAGGCTGGAGTGCAGTGGCACGCTCACGGTCACCACAGCCTTGACCTGCTAAGTTCAGACTATCCTTCAGCCTCAACCTTCCAAGCAGCTAGAACTATAGGTATGTACCACCATTCCTGGCTAACTTTTCTTGATTTATTGTAGAAATGAGGTTTCACCAAGTTGCCCAGGCTAGTCTTGAGTCCTTGGGCTCAGGGAATCCTCTCGCCTCGGCCTCCCAGTGTTGGGATTACAGGCTTAAACCACTGTGCCCGGCCTCTTTTTTCCCCCAAGTTGGAGTCTCATTCTGTTTCCAGGCTGGAGTGCAGTGGCACACTCATGGCCACCACAGCCTCCACCTGCTGGGTTCAGGCAATCCTTCTGCCTCAGCCTTCCAAGTAGCTGGAACTATAAGCATGTGCCACCATGCCTGGCTAATTTTTTATGTATTGTGGAGATGAGGTCTTGCCAAGTTGCCCAGGCTGGTCTCGAACCCCTGGACCCAGGCAATCCTTTTGTCTCTGTCTCCCAAAGGGCTGGGATTATTGGTGTGAGCCACCATGCCCTGCTGGTTTTTTTGTTTTGTTTTTTTTTTATTTTTATTTATTTATTTATTTATTTGAGTTGGAGTCTCACTCTGTCACCCAGACTGGAGTGCAGTGGCGGCTCCTGGTCACTGCAGCCTCGACTCGCTAGGCTCCGGCGATCCTTCCGCTTCAGCCTTCCGAGTAGCTGGAATTACAGGCATGCACTACCACGCCCGGCAATAAATTTTTTGATTTGTTGTAGAGATGAGGTCTCGCCTGCCCAGGCAGGTCTCGAACCCGCGGGCTCAGGCAATCCATTCACCTCAGCCTCCCAAAGGTGGGATTACAGGCTGAGCCACCGAGCCCGGCTTGTTTTGTTTTTTAAAGAGACAGGATCTTGCCATGTTGCCCAGGCTGGCACTGAACTCCTGAGATAGAGTGGTCATTCTACTTCAGCCTCCCAAGTAGCTGGGACTGATATATGCTTTTTAAATGTTAACAGACTCTGCCAAATGGTTAACCCTCTAACCAACTAAGTGCTTTCATCACGTGACACTTGCCATGTACCCAAAAGGGGTGGGTAGATACCACAAAGCAAGGAATCAAGATGTCCCTGTTTCTTACAGGAGGTCCTGCCAGCACTTGCTAAGTGTTTGATCAGGTGAAGCTGAGGGAGTTGAGGGATCATGCAAATTGGTGTCTTCCTGCCACCCAAATCAAGCATACCCAGGACACCCTGTCCCCAGAGAGGCTCAGCCTGGCAGAGCAACCAAACCTTGGTATGTAGACTGGCCATTTTGATCACCACCTAAGTTGCCCAAAGAAATCAAGATGCCATCGTTAAGATATCATTTTCTCCCTCCCCCAAGTTTCCAGCTCTGGTGACAAGCTTTCAGGTTCAGGAAATGGCGGATGTTTATAACTAACTCTTCATACGTCTCTATCTTGCAGTTTGTATCACAGGGAAGGAGGTGATTTCCCTTAATTCCACACAAGAATTTTTAAACTTCTGAGAAAAAAGCTTTTAGGAAAGAGTCATAATGCAGGCATACTCAAGGAATAAAGCTTTTATTAACTTAGGGGGTCCTGGGTAAAAAGGGATCCCGCTCCTCTTCCCTCACGCCTACTGGCTGTTCTTCCCCAGCTCCTGCAGTACCCAAGGACGTGAGACTAGACGCCCTCTGGGGTCCTTTTTAATTCTAGAATCCTGTGTTTTCGCTCTCTCTCCCCTGTTACATATGGTAGCTTTCCCACTTGAAATGTCTCCTTTCTCTACCTCTAGCCCGCAAAAATCTCTTATGACTAAAGTTTACCTATTTATATTCCAAAGTCCAACTCAGCTGTTACCTTTTCCTTAAAAACTGCCTTGAAGCCCAGAGCCAGAAGGAAGTCACCTTGCTCTGACGCCCATGAGCATGTTACCTGTCCCTTGATGAAAAGCATCCCTATCTACACTGCTACTCTTAGCATGGTTATGGCGTGCAGCTCATGCATTGCAGTCATTCAAAACTCTTTGTCAATGGAAAGGTTAGATGTCCTCTGGAAAGTATTCCTGATCTTTGGGGGCTTAAATTTCAAACAAACACTGAAAGACGCTCTTGTTACACAGCATGCTGGTCTGAATCTTAAGCACAATTTACACCAAAGGCCTTAAATCTGAGTAGCTTACCGCAAACATGCCATGCCACAGCCCAGCATCCTTCTTAAAGTCTAAGACATTTACTACTGTTTCTCCTAAAACAGAAAAAAAATAGGAAAACACAATGGAATAGGAAATCATCTTTAGTGTTAAGTAGCAAAGTCATATCACTTGCCTCCACTAGACAATGAATTGAGTGCTTTTAGAGAAATGAGTAAAAGTTGTTAGGGTTTTTTAATTGCTTGAGGGTCCCCTCAAATTGGGTGGAAGACTGATCATAAGGTGATGTGGTTACAGTAATGAGTTAGAAATTTATAATTTAGGGACTTCTTCCAAGAGATTGTATTTTTTCCCCCTTGGCATGTAAAGAACATTTGCTTATTTTAGAAACTTTGGAAGTTACACAAATATATGTAAACATTTTTACCTCCTAAGAAAAATAAAAATGTTGGTGGGTATATGTAAATATTGTATCTACATACAGACACATACATTTTTAGAAATATTTACATATAGATATCTAACATAACAAAATACAGATACAAAAGTCTGTATCTAATTTTTTCCACTTAATGATATATTAAAACAATTTATCCATATATTTAATATTTAAGAACAAGACTTTTAATGCCTCACTGGATAACCCCTTATGTGAAATATTATAATTTAATCAATCTCCATTGGGTGCATTTTCATTGCTCCCATCGCACACACACACAAACACACACACATTCTCTCTCTCTCTCTCTCGCTCTCTCTCTATGTATTTTAAAACAATGTTGTTCTGTAATGAACACATATTAACTTGTTTCATTTTGCAAAGGAAAATAAAACATTAAAAAAGTAATATTGCAAAGAGGAGTCTAACACAAATAGTTGTTACGCAAGATATATCAATGCATCTTAAGTTACAAAATACAGAATACTTTTTTGTGTTTTAATCTGTGCTTTTTGGTAATTGAATGCCTTTGATTCCAAATGTACAGCTGGTAGCTCTCTGCATGTGGGAAGCTGGAGATACCTGACATTCCACAGCTAATAAACACATGGTTTTAATTAGGGTTTTCTATTTCTGTGCTCTAGAAATCATGCTTTACATATTTGGTTTGCCCAGAATTTCAGATCTTTTAAATTACAGCATGCTTGTGAAAAAGAAGAAAACAAAAGCAAGCCAAGAATGTGTCTTGGAACGTTTCCCTCTGAATTTGGTCATTACACGGAATCCAATCACTGAGCATTGTGCTCGCAGTCACACTAGCTGAGGCAGACAATGAGGGCAGTCATGGGACGAGGTCTGACCTTCAGAATAATTGCAGGCCTGCGACAGAGCTTGGCAGTGGGACAGCATCGCAAGCCGGGACACTGTAACTCCCATCACACTCCCTTCTTTGCTTGTTTTATACTAGAAAAACAAAACAAAACAAAACCGTAAGAATACAGTAAAATAAATGATCTCAAATGACAAAACTAGAGTCCAAAAACAAAACCCAGGTAAGCTGCCATAATGGGCGCAATGCAGTGTGTTTAATGTGAGCATCTAGGACCTGGACTTGTGCCCCAAACTTTCTCTGCCCATCCCTTAATCACACAAAGACAGGTCTGAGGAATGACAAAGCTCAACAGCAGTATGTCTGAAAAAGACTTAAAAGTAATTAGGTCAGGCATGGTGGCTCATGTCTGTAATCCCAGCACTTTGGGAAGACAAGGCGGGAGGACTGCTTGCTTCTAGGAGTTCGAGACCAGCCTAGGCAACATAGAGAAACTCATGTCTACAAAAAAATAAAAAAAGTAGCCAGGTGTGGTGGCATGCCCCTGTAGTCCCAGCTATTCAAGAGGCTGAGGCGAGAGAACTGCCTGAGCCCAGGAGGTCGAGGCTGTGGTGAGCCATGACTGTTATACTACACCCCAGCCTAGGTGACAGAGTGAGATCTGACTCAAAAAAAAAAAGTTTAGTCATCTGTGTGAAGAGGCTACTAAAAAAGCTACAACAGTCAGGCACGGGGGTTCGTGCCTATAACCCTAGCACTTTGGGAGACTGAGGCAAGAGGATTGCCTGAGCTCAGGGGTTCGAGATAAGCCTGGGCACCTTGGTAAGACCTCGTCTCTACAATAAATCAAAAAATGAGCCAGGCATGGTGGCGCACGCCTGTAGTTCCAGCTAATCAGAAGGCTGAGGTGGAAGGATCACCTGAGCCCAGCAAGTTGAGGCTGCAGTGGCTGTGAGTGTGCCACTGCATTCCAGCCTGGGTAACAGAGTGAAACTCAAACTCAAGCTCAAAAAAAAACAAAAACAAAAAAACAACTAAAACAAACAAGTAACATGAGCTGTATTAACAGGAGCAAAATATCAATAAGTATATGTCTAACACAGTACTGCAGAATTTAAAAAGGTGTGTAAGATGTGGCCCCTGTGCATTAGAAGTGCCCAGTTTCATAGAGGGAGACCTAGAAATGAAGGAACGATTCACTCCTATAAATCTATAATTTCTTTTACCCTCAATGCTCCATTCAAGTTGCTTTTTACCAGAATCACATACTTTTTCTTCTTCTTTTTTTTTTTTTTTAGAAAGTAGGATTTATTGAGAAGACAGAAAGGCTCCCAGGGCAGGAGGGGACCTGAGACAGTTGCCCTTTTTAAAAAAAAAAAAAAAAAAAGCCGGGCTCAGTGGCTCAGCCTGTAATCCCGCGCCTTTGGGAGGCTGAGGTGAGTGGATTGCCTGAGCCTGCGGGTACGAGACCCGCCTGGGCAGGCGAGACCTCATCTCTACAATAAATCAAAAAAACTAGCCGGGTGTTGTAGCATGCGCCTGTAGTTCCAGCTACTTGGAAGGCTGAGGCGGAAGGATCGCTGGAGCC